TTTCAAAAATGATTTATTTTAAAGAAAAATCTTATTGGTTCCATTCATAAAATTTAAAAATGTTAGGAAATTCAGAAAACAATTTTTTTCGAACAAGATTTATGTTATAAACCATGCTCTAAAATTTTATTGGTTTCTGAAAATTTAAAATTTTCAAAAAAATTAGTCATTTAGTGTTTTTTTTTTGTGTGTTTAAAGGAATAGTTATTATGTGATATTGGTTTCGAAAATATGGTTATTAGGATAAATATCTATTGCTATTATAATAAAAGAAGAGAGTGAGGAAAATTTATTTGAATAAACATTTGTTCAAAATAATATTTAAAGGCATATGTTTATTACCATAAGAGATATCGACTTTAATGTCCTTAATAGAAAATCACACTCGTATTGCATAATGACCTCTTGACTTTGAAAATTGCAAAATAACCACGATATTCAAAATATGACAACTTGGAAATTAAAATTTTGAAGTAAACTAGTGTTGGTGATTTTAGTGTCATTAGGATATTCTGTGTAATTGGAACTTACATGTGAGCTAAGAAGCTTCATAATTTGTACTCTAATATATGTTTGGGTATGTGCGGGGTGTATAGATGTATAAGATCGAATTAGAAACCGATTTGATGACAAGTTGGGGATCCGAAGGCGACGCCCCTGGGTCCGGGGTTCCTAAAGGGGTAATGCCCCTTTAGCGGGGTCTAGGGGGAGTACCCCTAGTGGGGTCCAAGGGACAGAGCCCTTGGCTGGGGTCCTGTTAATTAATTTTGGATTTTACAAGTGGGTACATAGTGGAAAAATCGAATTCTTCATGGTGATTATGGTAAAGCTGACTAAGATCGTCAGTTTTGAAAACCATTGATTTCCTCATTAATTTCGGGTTCCTTTGATTTGTTTCCTCATTGATTTTGATTCACTTGATTTGTTTCCTCATTAATTTGAATTCCCTTGATTTTTTTCCAAAGAAACCCATGACGGCCAACCCTAATTCGAAACCCTACATCTCGTTTTCTATATAAACGACTCTTCTCTTGAGGAGAAATGATCACCGTTTTTAGCTATTGTTTTTCTTCATACGAACTCAGAGTTCTCTACCAATTTGGTTTATGGTTTCTGTGCCTAAATTCGTAAGTGTCCCATTGGGATTATCCAAGACTGAATTTCAGTTCGGAAAGTGTTTATACGATCTAAGAGGTATCCAGATCTCTACCATAAACTCTACCCAATTTCTAACAACTAATTTCTAAATTGCTATTACTAATATGAAGTGCTTTGTAATTTTCAAACATGTGTAAAATATTTCAAAACTAAAAGGTAACAAGGCATTGGAACTAAGTATACGTACTTCGAAATTTCGAAATTTGGAAACAATTTTATACCTTTTGGTAAAACTATGTAGTAGATGCCAACAATGGGACCATACTCGTCTAAACTATCAAACTTATAAACCGATTAAATCATCAAAGTCAGGGGTCTCAAGCAGTAAGGGTAAGGCTAAGGCTAACATTGCAAACATCAATTAACAAACCGTGGGGGACAACATCTATCTTCAAATTCAGATGTTTGGTTTGAATTAATTCATATAATAATAACATATTATGTTATTATATTAGATTTTTCGTCGAATCATATGAAAATGTCAGGTTACTGCCTAATGCAATCTATTACAACATAATTAAACCAACTTCCTAAGCTTTTATGATGCAATTATATTCTTATAATGTTATAAAGAATTCGCAATGCTTTAAAATTTTCCGAAATGAGTATTTTCTTTAAAAAAATTTAAATGCTTCGTCTTGTTCAAAATGATTCTACTATTTCTAAAGTTCTTTGTGAAAATTTTGTGAAAATTTTAAAGTTGTTCTACCAAAGATTTTCGAACTAGTTATGTTTGTTCTTAAGTTTTTCCAACTACTCATGTTAACTTTTTTTGGAGTGTACCTTAAGTTTTCTAAGAACATCTGTGATTTAGTATTTTGAAAATAAAGTATTTAATATTTTTGAAAAACGTTTTTTCAATGTAAGTGGTTATTTCATTAAATTTCATTTCAAGAGGTCAATATGTAGGAAGTATATGATTTTTTTTGGCCACTTAGGTCAATATCTTTTGTTATAAAAAACTAGAGACCGACTACCTAAAATAAGAATCGACTTGTTTACTTATAAACTTATACTACATATTTCTACATGTTTCAAAATGCATTCTATTTAATACACAATTTTACATGTTTTTCAACATACGTTCTTTAAAGTAGAAATTGATACAAATATGTTGTTAACGTTGTTTGCAAGAAAGCCTTTAAGTTTGTTTATTTTTTTGTGGTCTTATGTAAGTATAGATTTTTTCTTGGTTTTACTCCTTCATTATCGACATACTTTACTTTTGGCTTTTATTCGGTTTTGGCCACATTTCCGGGAACACCCTCCGACATGGCACATGGTACTTTCGGTAACTATATTGGTGTTGGTGACATTATATGCCGGGTGAACACAAAAAAGTAAAATGAGAAGAAATGCTAAAGACAAAAACTCGAACTTAAGAACTCTTACATATAAGCCTACGCCCCTTACGTAAGCCAAGTAACAATTTTGTATAATCTTTTACATATTAAATATAATAACTATAATAGTAATAATATGTATAATAGTAAGTTAGAATGAAGGATGACAAAAATACCCACATCCAATAGGGAAAACTTAATCCATATTTTTAGGACAAATAAATGGTTATGAGATTTTCTCGAAAGAAATTTACGGGTTTTGACGGGTTATGATATTAGGATTATATATGTATTGTCCGGATACGTAGTCCCTTTTATCCAACCCAAACCATTTATAGTGTTTATACTTCAAATTTTATTAGTATTATGTAAAGATTTCAAATTATATTTTAATATAATGTGATATTAGAAATATGATCGAAGTTGGGATCTTAATCAATAGTATTAAGCTCAGATACCTAATAGTGTATCATTAAAATCGCAAAGTGTGCTAGACCTTGACATTTCTTTCTTTAATGCCCAATTCTATTGTATGTTAACTCATCTACACAAACATTTGTTAGATATTAAGTTTGTTATGATGCTGTTAGAAAGTTAAATTATTAAAAGATCAATTCATTTTTGGGATGAGATTGTGATAGTTTTATGTAATAAAAATTCAATAGGTAAATTTAACCTATTAAAATCATAAATTTGATGACCGATACCCATGTATACTTGTAAACGTGTTTGATTTTATGTAATAAGAGGGTATCACTACATGTCACCAAATTTGAGATATGTTTTATAATCAAATACAAGACTAAGATTACAAATACTCATTCTCTACTTGTCCTATTCTCACCCATAGTTAAAATTAAAGTATAAAGTGTTAGAAGAAGAATTGAACCCGATACTTTAGCGTTGTGTGACCAATAGTTACCACCAAAATAAATCATTTTTTATAATATTAAGGACCATATTTAAAAAAAAAAAAATCAGTGTAAAGGTGCTTATATGTATAAATACACAAAAACAAGAACACCACTACATATAAGTATGATTTTTACATAAAATACACATTATATAAATATTAAAATGTATAAATACAAAGATCCTATATTTATATCTAGGGAATTTGACTTAGTAAGGTAATTAACTATTTCAAATGTTCACATATGGGTAATATTGTTTTTTTGTACTCATTTACCCAACAAACTTGTTTCAGCCGTTAAAAAATAACCAACATTACCGGCTATTGTAAGTTTTGGGTGATGTGGCATCTACGTGGCTTGTACGCTACAATACTCATCACCTACGTGGCATTGAGAAGTGCTTACATTATAAGAGGGTGAGATACGACAGCTTATTAATTAAAACCCTAGATCGATCGATGGCATCTTCTTCCTCATCCTTTTCTTCCACACGACAAGACGAATTACAACCGGATCATCCATGTGATTGCGATTTGCCATCTCGTGTGAAGACATCAAGAACCCCAGACAATCCTGGAAGGAAATTCAGAGTTTGTCAAAACTCACTGGTAATTCATATTTTTTACTTCTTCTTCATCCTTCAATTTAACATGTTCTTATAAATTTCTTGAAGAATGGAAAAAGTCCAAGCTGTAAATTTTGGCAATGGTTGGATGAGGATGAAGGGAGGAAAGATGGAAGAGGGCATTACAGGATGAAAGCAGAAGAAAGCTGCAATCTTACCTTGAAAATTTGTACCTTGGAGAATGAAATCAGCATATGTAGGATGAAGATTGAAGAAGAGAAGAACAGGAATAAACAAGAACTTGACAAAGTCAACTGGAAATTGTTTACCCATAGACTTGCATTAATTTTCTTGTTTCTCTTGTATGTCAAAATGTTGTTTTAAATTATGTATTATGATGTAGTATGACTAAATTATGTATGCTTTTGTGATGTTTTCAATGAAAAAGGTTATATTCTATCATTGGAATGGAATAGTACATTGTAATGGAATGGGTATTAAACTTGGTAGTATAAAAGATAGTAATAAACATTGTTATGGAATTGAATCATTGTAATTGAATCATTGGAATGGTAGTGTACAAAACTTGTAATGTTATTGTTAATCACTGGAATTGAATTGTTCAAACAATGTAATGGAATTGTGATTACATTGTAAAGGAACTGTGATTACAGTTGATATTCTAAAAGATGGTAATAAATTATAAATAATACAAATGGTATTAGAAAGATGTGCAAAAGATGGTAATTGAAACATTGGAATGGTAGTGTACAAAACTTGTAATGTTATTGTGAATCATTGGAATTGAATTGTTCAAACAATGTAATGGAATTATGATTACACTGTAAAGGAATTGTGATTACAGTTGATATTCTAAAAGTTGGTAATAAATTATAAATAATACTAATGGTATTAGAAAGATGTGCAAAAGATGGTAATATATTATAGACATTCCAGGGAACATTGACTTCAAAAGATGTGTCAAAAGTTTTACATAACATAGTTAAACATTCATTACACCCAAAAGATGTGCAAAAAGTTAAGCTATTCCAACTAGTTTTCAAAAGATGTGCCAAAAGATTCCAAAGTTAAAAGATGTCAGTCAAAGATGCCAAAAACATTAACAACAGTACAATAAGCCAAAAGTTAATCCAACTCATACGGATTGTCATCACTACTGCCCTGTTTTCCCTCCCACATCTTTCTTATCTTCAGTTTTGTAATTCTTTCTGAAGGTTTCCTTGCCCTCTTTCCCACTACAACTTGAAAAGCTGGTATTTCCACTTGATCTTGAACTACAATTTGGTTAGCATCTTCAACTTGAACTTGCACTTCAGGTTCAACTTCAGCTTGAACTGCAAGGTGAACTTCAACTTGGTTAGCATCATGAACTTCAGGATGATTTTCAGGTTCAACTTCAGCTTGCACTTCATCTTGAACTTCATGTTGCACTCCATCTTGGACTTCAGGTTCTACTCCATCTTCAACTTCAGGTTGCACATCATCTTCAAATTCAAGATCAAAAGAGTCAACATCACTTTCAGGTTCTATTTCAACTTCACTGTCACTGTCAATATCAACTTCATGTGCCAATACAACCTTCACTTTATCTGTTTTGTATTACTTGAAAAGTTAAGTTATGCCCAATATGTTAAGTTATACAAGTTATATACAAATAAATATATCAAACATACCAGCTTTCTTGGATTTCTTTTTCTTTGAACTTGCATTTGATGATTCCCCAATTGGTTTTTGAGGACAGGTTGTTCTATTATGCCCACTTTCCCTACATATGCTGCATTTCATCACACTACCTCTTTTTGTGATTGAATGCTTTTTTCCTTGGTTTTCCCTCTCAATCTGATCCCTTTTCCTTTTTGTTGATGGTCTTCCTGGTAGCCTTCTCCTTTTGGGGGGCAATGGGCTGATGTAGTCTACATGAGGCCACATGTCACTACCATTTAGTGGGTTAATGGTATTCCTGTAACAGTTTAGGTACATTGATGTGGTAAACCATGGTGACACATACTCCTCTACATCCCTGTTGAGGCTTGCAATGCAAGCATACCCATGCACACAAGGGTAACCTGTTAACTGCCAAGTTCTGCAGGCACATGTCCTACTACCAATATCCACAACATATGCATCATACCCAAGTCTGACTTCATACTGTTGATAACCAGATGGTATTACTTTCCAAAACCTGTCCATATACACATGTTTAAAGACAAACATATATAAGGACAAACATGTTTAAAGACAAACATATATAAGGACAAACAGTTTTAAGCACTTACCTTTGAAGATCCTTAAGCTTGGACAACTTCAGCCTAATGGTAGGACATATGGTTAAATCCCAAGATTGCCCCTTAATCTTCTGTCTATAAAGCCTCTCCATCACATAAATTCGAATTTCTTCTAACATGGTGATTAGTGGTCTCTTCCTAGCAACTTCAATCACAGAGTTGAAACTCTCAGAGATACCATTTTCATATGCATCACAAGCCCTATCAGTCTGAAAAAATGCTTTACTCCAAGTTTTAGGGTCCCTTTCCATCAAATGGTCATAAGCTAGTGGCTCTAATTTCTTGATTTCATTCATGTGTTGTTCAAATTTTGCAGGGGTAGTAGCTGCAGCAGCATACCAGAAAAGCTTTCTAAACACTTGGCCCTTAAACCTTTTCAGGAAGTTAGCACATATGTGCCTAGCACATTGCCTATGCTCTGCTGCTGGGACCCTTTCCTTCACAGCCTCAAGTAATCCCTGTTAGCAATAGACACAAAATTTAAACAACAAAAACATAACATAAGCTAAAATAAAGATGAAAATAATAAAAATTGATTACTTTGTGTTGGTCTGATATCAAGGTTAGTCCATGCCCAACTCCCATTCCAAGGTCCTCAATTAGAAGGTTAATAAACCACTTCCATGTTTCTTTACTTTCCACTGATACAACAGCCCAAGCAATGGGATATATATGGTTATTTGCATCTCTACCTATAGCAGAGAGCAACTGACCTCTGCATATGCCCTTTAGGAAGCAACCATCTAGTCCAATTACCCTCCTACAACCTTCAATCCATCCATCCTTCAATCCCTTGAAACATACATAAAACTTTGAGAAATATGTGGTTCCATCAGGCATGACATCTACATCCATCTTCACTGTTGATCCAGGGTTAGTCCTTCTTATCTCTTCTCCATAGCTCCATGTTTTTGCATAATGCTCTTTCAAAGTACCCTCTATCTCCTGAAATGCATACTTCCTTGCATTTCTGCATTGACCAACACTTGCAATCAAATTAAATTTCTTGCTGACCTTAGCTTTCAACTTCCTTATACTCATCTTTGGTTTCTGAAGTATATGATTCATGAAATGCTTTGCTATCCATTTATAGGTAACAATGGACCCAAATTTGAACACTCTTGCACAATTATGCATATCATTCAGAGATTTAATCTGGAATGATTTTTCACTGCTCATCCAGGTTGCCCATAATCTAAAAGGACAACCTTTACCCTGTTTATTTGTCTTACCTTTACAACATTTTACCAATAACCTTTCATGATCACTTTTCTCATACCATAAATCATATCCATTTTTGACTGCATAGTTGGTGATACACAACTTCAATTCCAATGGATTAGAAAACTTCATACCCAAAACTGGCACCATTTGCTCCCATTCTTGATTCTCATTATGGACAGGGAACACAACATCCTTAAGTTTCCCATTGTTTGCTTCCTCTTCATCATCATCACTAATATGCCCTGAAAGTTTGTCCAAGAATGGGTCTCTAACAGTTTTATCAAAAGTATGTTCATCTTCATCATCCCATTCATGTTCATATTCCATTTTCATTGAAACTTCAGAATCCTTGTCATCCTCTTCATCCAACTCATCCAACTCATACCCTTTACCATCTTCTAAGAACTCGTTATCAGCCCAATCAAGAATTGGTTCATTTCGGTGGTCAATGTACACATCTAACTCACTCTCAAGACTATCACTCTCCAGACTATAAACAGTCTCCACAAACTCCCAATAATCAGCATCACTGTCGATTCTTCTAATACCCTCACACAAGCTTTCCTTTCTCATACAGTAGTAGACATTATCACATTCTCCATTTGTTAATTTCGTAAGCCACAAAAGAAACTCTTTATACGTAAATCCCCCAAAATCCACATCACGTACATTTGTTTTTACGGGGTCTAAGTACACCAATGGGTTTGGCGAAAAGAATCCATTGTAATGAAAATCTACAGATACATACATACCTGTAGATGAGGATGCCATGCTAGTAGTCGACTTCAATTCCAACTTCAATTCCAAGACCTAATCGTCGATTTGATGTATCGATTGATTTCTCACAGAAGAAGGTAATCGAGGTGTGTTAGCTGACGATGACGAACCCTAATTAAATGAGAAAGGGGTGTAATGGCCACGTAAGATTCCACGTAATGTTTTAAACCGAGCTAAATCAATGTTACCGGCTAAAACAGGTAATAGCCGGTAATGTTGGTTATTATTGAACGGCTGAAACAAGTTAGTTGGGTAAATGAGTACAAAAAAAAACAATATTACCCATATGTGAACATTTGAAATACTTAATTACCTTAGTAAGTCAAATTCCCTTATATCTAAGTATGTAATTTTATATATAAATACACAACTGTAGGTATAACAAAGTAGAAATATGTATTTTTACCAATAAAAAAAATCAAAATTACATTTTTTTTTCAAATAAACAAATTAGAACTATAACTATTTTTACTAATAAAAAAGTATAGATATTTAGTTATTTGTAAAAATATGTATTTTACGTAAAAACACTATTGACATTATATTTAAAAATGGACGGTTTTAATTACAAGAATATTACATAATAGTGTACACCTGATTTAGTCTAATGATAATACGTTTACTTTATACTTCTAAGGTCTCGACTTTGAGCCCTCTACCGTCAATTCTTCATTGTTTATTGGGAATATGAGTTATCAAGGTAATTAACTTTTCGGTATGTTCACATCTGGGTAACTATCTTTTTTTTGTACATATATAGGTAACAAACTTTTTGGAAGTGTTCACATATGACCATTATGACCTGTTATAGCAGGTTAAATCCTAGATGTGAACGCTTTCAACAAGTTTGTTACCTAGATGTGTACAAAAAAAATAGTTACCCAAATATGAACAAAACGAAAATTAAAATCTAAATTACATGAATGGTCCCTGTGGTTTGGGGGAATTGATGATTTTGGTCGCTAACTTATTTTTTTTACTTAAATGGTCTCTATTGTTTATTTTTGTTGCGCGTTTGGTCTCCGTCTTACCTAAAAATACTATTGTGCCGTTATTAATTAATTTTTTTTAATTAATTTTCTTATCTATGTATTTCTTTTTTGCATATTTAAAAAAATTAATAGAACACACATATTTGTATCTCCTCGGATGAACCCTACTGTTTATTTTTAATTAATTAATTTTTTTTTAACTCGGATGATCCCTACTATTTATTTTTGTTACGTGTTTGGTCTCTGTCTTATCTAAAAATACTATTTTTTCCTTATTAAATTTTTTTAATTAATTTTCTTATTTATGTATTTGTTTTTTATAAAAAAAATTAATATACCCCACATATATGTATCTCATCACCGTAAACCTGAAACCACATTTGAGAAATTTAATTTGAGTCTTACAATTCACCATCTCATCTCTAATCTTTCCCATCTTCTATTTCTTTTTTATCTTTAGTAACATCGACGTCTTCACCGTCCTTCTTTTTTTTGGTACTTCAACTTTGGCGAACCAACACCATAACCTACTGTCTCTTCATCTTTAGTGGGTTGTGGTGTTGATTCGACGGAGTTGAAGGACCGAAAAAAAGATGTGATGATGAAGACGTCGATATCACTAAAGATGAAAAATAAATAGAAGTTGAGAATTATGAAAGATGGGATGGTGAGGAGATACAAATATATGAGGTCTATTAATTTTTCTTAAATATATAATGCATAAGTACATAAACAAGAAAATTAATTAAAAAAATTAATAAGGGCACAATAGTCTTTTTAGGTAAGACAGAGACCAAGTTTGTAACAAAATTAAATAGTAGGGACCATCCGAGTTAAAACATTAAATTAATTAAAAAATAAATAGTAGTGATCATCCGAGATACAAATATATATGGTCTATTAATTTTTTTAATATGTAAAAAATAAATATATAGATAAGAAAATTAATTAAAAAAATAAATTAATAAGGGCACAATAGTATTTTTAGGTAAGACGGGGACCAAAAGCGCTACAAAAATAAAGAGTAGGGACCATTTAAGTTAAAAAAATAAGTTAGCAACCAAAACCACAAATTCCCCCAAACCACAGGGACTATTCATGTAATTTAATTTTTACTTTTCATTTTGTTCATATTTGGGTAACTATTTTTTTTGTACACATCTAGGTAACAAACTTGTTGAAAACGTTCACATCTAGGATTTAACCTGCTATAGCAGGTCATAATGATCATATGTGAACAATTCCAAAAAGTTTGTTACCTACATATATACAAAAAAAAGATAGTTACCCAGATGTGAACATACCGAAAAGTTAATTACCTTGATAAGTCATATTCCATTATTTATTTTGCGACGTTGGCATGCCAAAAAGTGTACCACCTAGTAACGAAGGGTAAACTTGCTAAAAGCCTATAATAAAGGTCTCCCAAATTTAGTTTTTTTTTTTCCTTGATGTTCAAAAAACAAGTCTTAGAAAAATAAGGAGTTAAAACTAGAAAAAAAAATATTTGTTTAAAACCATAAAATTTAGATTATATTTGATACGCTCCAACTAGCTTATAAGTTAACATAGTTTTTGAACTAAATGGTTATCAAACAAAAAAAATAATTTATACACTAGTTTTTTAAAAACTTATTATGACTAGCTTTTCAATGAACTTATTAAGTTATTTATTTATTATTTAATTTGCTAAATATATATTTTATTAATTATTAAAACTTAATCTTTTGTATTATTTTTATGTCATTTTATACATTTCAACCATTTATCGATCAATCTTACGAAATATCATTTTTATCAATTAACTTATCCGCTATAATAACCAACTTTTCAACTATTATCTAATTTTTCAAGTTTTTTATTAGCCCTTTGAAAAATAGTTTTTTCTACTTATCCTTTTTTAGTTTAGCATGAAGTATAGAAAATTAAAGATAATGGAAAAGCGTTTTGCATTATTTTGTACAAAAAGAAACCTGTTAGGGACGGGTCTACAACAATAAAATTTGACTTATAACTTATCTTTTATCCAGCTTAATTTGTATATTCATGGATCTACAAGACTACAACAATGGGATTCCTAATTTGTATGTTGAGGCCAACATCATTGAGTAGTCTTTAGCATTCAGTCAAAAAAAGTTTTCTAAATTTATCGCCGGACCCCACACCCAATAAGATAGTAGAAAAGGAAGTATAGAGATGGTGATGAACGGTGACATGTAACCAATAAAACTCCTTTATCCCATACTTCTCTATTGTCTTTACACTAAAACATCCATATTCCCTACTTCCCAAGTCCCCCTCTTTCTTACCCTTTGAATTGAATTTGATTTCACCTGTTGTAGGGACCCCCCTACCCACCCTAACCCTACTCTATACTTTCTCTCTATATGTATTTATAGAGAGAGAAAGAGAAAGAGATAGCATAGCATATTGGGAGTGTTAGAAGCATGTATGATGAAACTGATACAAATTGTCTGGTTACCAATTAAGGAAAAGGACATCATGAAACTGACTCACAAATACTCCTAAAACTTGTGTTGGGAACTAGCAAAAGGTGCATCTATGTGTTGGAACCACATCCACATGCATGCAACCATCATCATTCCCGATCCAAGTAGATTTTCCATCAGGCATAATAACAAAGTTTTCTTTTCGGAGTATGCTTGTGTTTACAACTTTATATGCTAAGCTAGATCCTGTGAAAATGAATGGTTGGGATAATTTTAAAAAATGAGTAATTTAATTTTAGTACCAAATGAAATGGATCGGATCAAGTTAACCCATAAACATTTTTTTTTTCTTTGTTATTTATATGGTCATGGAAAATATTATATTACACTAGTTTTCTATTTTTTTAAATAGATTGATTGAAGAGGTTGCCTCATTTGCGTTTAGAGGTTCTAGTAATTATTTGTTTGTTGTATGATTTACCTATGTTTATATATTACTACTCACATCGACTTAGTTTCTTATTTTTTGCCCCATTAAAAGATTGTATGTTTGGATTATACCAAATGTCTTAATTTTATGCGAAGTAGTCCGTTTACCTTAACAGAGATATGACCGTCAACATCTAACTTCTCCTATTTAATGTGATTGTTGGAGTCTTACTATTGTTAATTTGTGACTTTTGCCTAGTTAGATACACTTTTAAGTTTTGATATAAAATAACCTATGAAATATCTAATATGTACCCTAAGACATATGTAAAAAACATTAATTGTATTAATTATACGTAATATTATCATAATTAAATGTGATAAAATATATATATATATATATATATATATATATATATATATATATATATATATATACTAGTTTATAACCCGTGGAAGCCACGATTACAAAACTAATTAAATTTTTATAATAAAAACTCAAAATTATTAATTAATTAATTTAAATAAATTAATAATTAAGATTTTTTTAGTTATATAAATTGTAATCATTTATTTAAATAAATATGTGAAATTATATCATTTGTATTATTTTTATTTTAATTTTTATTCTAATGTTATTAATTTAATGTAATTAAAGTGGAAATTTTAAAATTTAAAATTTGAAATTAAGTTGACAAGTGACATATATTAATTAGGAGACATAAAATATGCATTAATTAGAAGACCTAATAGGATGACACATGTCAAAAGGAAAATAAAACTATTCTTTTACTAGGTGTGAAACCCATGTATTACATTAGTTTAATTAAAAAAAAACAAATATAAAATTTTAACAATTTGACAAGTTTGAATTTAAAAGAAAAATGAAAAAAATTTGAATTATTAAAATTAATGAGACTTTAATGTATTGAATACATTACATATATAAATTCTTTCTAATAAATACTTTACATATATATTACGTTAAACATTAAACATGGAATTTTAATTTAAAAAAATAAAAAATACAATATAATGACAAGTGGAAAATAGAAATTTTAAAAATTCTAGAAATTGTCATGTGTCCAAATGAATGAGAAGAAGACATGTGGTAAAAAAAACT